AGAACATAAGAAAACTTCTTTCTGAAAGAAGGTCGGAAGCAACCATGTACAAAATTAAAATTGTATGAGGATATCAAATTCTCCCTCGACTCCCCCCCAAACCTCCCCCTTTTTACGTCATCTTCTGGTATTGTAGTGTTAACTAGCGCAAACACCCACCCACCCCTTTCTCGAGGGAAAAAAAATAAAAAAAATCTTTTTTGTTCAGTCACCCACACCACCTAATAACATCAGCAACCCCCCCCCGAAATCGCCACCATTCATCAAAAAAGGCCATTGAGCATGTAATAAAATCCGATATCAACTATATTCTCACACGATACTTTTACAACTCAGTCCAATCTCCCTCTGCAACCCGCATCCATCCCATCCAATCCCGACCCCCCGCCGTTCAACGTGACAACAAAATCCCAAACGCCCGCCTCTCCCACTCCCCACTCACTTCCGCGTAAATCAGCATTGACGAACGGGCTTTTACAAAACCGCTTTTCGACCACATCACTCCAGCCGCCGTACGTACATTCGTGGAAACCGGGCAGGTGGCCAAGGGGGAGGCGGGGCGGGCCACCGAGAGGACATGCATGCAGCTTGCAGAGTAGCAGCTACTAGCAGCAACAACAGCAGACTCCCTCATTCCCCATCATGCCTTTCTCTTCTCACTATCCACCTCCTTTCCTATCTCCCTCTCAGTCTCGGCCTTTTGATCGATCGAAAGGAAGAGACACAGAGAGAGAAGGGAATAGAAACACGAAAAGAAGAAAACTCAACAGCACTAGTAATCTACAACGGATGGGGTCTCATTTTCTCCACATTCCCCTTTGGTTTTTGGGGGGTTGCAAACGACCCTCACGTGCAAACAGGGCGTGTGTCCACACGTGTAACACTGTTTTTTGCGTCCGGGTGCTTCTCCTGGGTGCCCACCCCATCGGCTTGGGGGATTTAACTTAAGAGTGTCGGCTCCGCAATTCGATTTCGATCTCCCTTTTGTCTTTCTCTCATAATCTCTGGTACTCTTTTTTTTTTTTTTTTTTTTTTTTTTTTTTTTTTTCCCTCAGGCGAGGGGACGTGAAAAGTGGACGTTTCATCCCGAAACCTATACCATCAATATGGTTTATTTTTGCACAGTTTTTCTCAAGTCCTGTACGTGTAAAGAATTTTCTTCCATGAAATTTAGGAAGAAAACCAAAATATAAAATTAGTAAATCTCTCATCTCTCATCTCTCATTTCTCTCTCTTTTTTTTTTTTTTTTTGTTGGTTCCCGGTGGACAGTTTTCCAGGAGAAAAAAGCCCGGGTAAGGACCTTTCCTCCTCTCCCCAGGGCCAGAGGGGGAGGTTGTGTACAGGAGATCAAGGGGGGGGGTTGCCAGAAAGATTAACAAAAAAATAAATTTGGAATCTAATTTTCACCGTACCAATCAACGTCGCTCAGCTGCAACTTGCGGGAACGGAACCCACTGCGATTCGAGCTCGATTTATCATTATTGCTCCTCGGGTCTCCGCGATGGGTACGCTTATCCGGGCCTTTATTATTGCGTATGATTCCTTTAGTATTGGGGTTCTCTTCCAGCACGAAGGGTGATGGGTTTGATGATGTTCTTGGGGAAGGGGAGGAAAGGATGTTGAATTCACCGTCACTGGGCTCATTGTCATCTCTTAGGTCATAATTTAGCACTAGATTCTTGATGCGTTGCTGCTCCTCGCGCTCGGCTTGTTGTTGCGTTTTCATCGCGAGGGCAAAGCTGGAGTCGGAGGGGAGGTCGATAGTGCGGGTCTATTAAAAAAAAAAGAAGGAATGGAAAAGAAGAGAATATGGTTAGAGACTCGATGAAGAGTCGTATAATGATATATTTTACATAAGAGAAGCGGATACAGACCTGTTGTCGGTTTCCTCGTTTGGTCATGAGAGAAAATGCCATCGTGTTTGGTGCATGTTGGCTACTCTCATGATTATCTTCTGAAGTCGATGTATCGCGCGTGGTACGTCTCATTGGCAGGGGAACGTCAAACATCGCCTTGCGCTCGAATTTTCGAGACTGCAAGCTCTCAGCCATCATCTTCTCAAACTCTCGATCGAATTCCGCTTCAGCTTCAGGATCTAGCTGTTCTTCCTGGCGGGTAACGAAAATCTGCTCTTCCTCTTCGGATTCGGAATCACGTTCCTGGTCTGGATCGCGAACGGTCTACAAAGAAGAGTTAATTAGATATGATACTTTCGACACTTTCCGCTGTGCCGTTGGATAAGTAAATAGCCCCTACCTCCTCGAGTTCTTCACTGGAAGAATGTTCTTCATCCTTTTCTTCATCCGCATCAGGGATGGCATCATCTTCATATCCATCGTCAGATGAAGAACTTTCCCCTTCATCATCCGGTTCAGGAGCTTTATCAGTCTCTTGCGCAGTCTCCTCTAGCTTGTAATTCTGCGCTATGGCTTCGCTAAAAAGCCGAGAAGCTTCAGCAGGATCAGTAGCAATCTTCCACTGCGGACGAGTCAAAGCGTAGGTATCTTGAACGAGAAAATCCACATCCATGGGCAAGGGGTCCTTGGTAAACAGGTAATACTACGGCAATACCATATTAGCTGGATATCCAACAAAATCTGCTGCTTGGGAAAGTAGTACCTGAAAAAACGTTAAAAAGAAGTCAAGCTTTTTCTTCGCAGGCCCGCGATCAAAGCACACCCCGCAGGTATCAAGAAGGGTGCACACTAATCGGATCCGGAAGAAATCATCGGGCATATCCAAGAAGGTAATCTTCCCTGGCGCCGGAATGCCCCCCTCTAATGTTGATGTCAGCAAGTGTTGGCTTGAAATGTTCTGGATGGACATGCAAGATCACATATGAACATACCATGTCCGAATGTAACAAGACGATAGAGAGTATCAAAAATGACCGGCGAGTCGACCATTTTATAATTGTACAGCTCTCCAAGGTACTTAATCTCGGCAACTCTTCGTTGATTCTGCTTGAAGTCATTCTGCTCCAACCCAAGCGTAATGAATTCAAGTATATTGTCTACAATCCTAATGACAAAATCTTGATGACAGCGGTAGAGGGCGCTGACAATGCTGGCCATAATATGTATGTTCCCATACTTGACTTTTCCAGGCTTGCTGAAGATTCGCTCGAGAATTTGGACAACCTAGGGCTGTTAGTTACATGTCGTCCATAGAAAAGAGAAAAAAAAAAAAAAAAAAAAAAATTTAGACTTTTCAAGAAAAATATATCTCACTTCTTGTTCCTCCCAATGAAGCTTTCGAATACTCTTCAAAATCTTAGAGCAATTCCGCTTATTCATATCAAGAAAGATGAGTTTGCGAATGTACTGCTCGACCGGAGTGCGCTCCTTCTGCTGGATAGCAGGTCGCTGGGGGGGGTCAACGTAGTACATCGCATTCTCGATAATCATGCGCTCCTGTTGACCAAGATGTTGGGCAGCTTTCTTCCGGCTAAGAGTTTCCAGGAAGGACGCCATCCGTGGTGCTGTTTCCGGATTGCGGAGAAGGTATCGACCACAGTTCTCTAGCAAGTTGCCAATAATTTCAATGTTCATCCGAGAAAAGTCGTCCAGACTGACCTTGAAACAGTGGAAGATAACATGTTCAGGGACAACGCCAAACTTGGTGAGTTCTGCCAAATATCGAATATTGCTTGTGCGGACCTGGCCAAGAAATTCCTTTAGCTTGCGGCGTTGAAGACTCCGGAATTCCTCGTCGAGGTAGCTGATAAGGCTCTGGGGGATGTCGGGGAGGTACTGGCCCAGGGTAGCAACAAGGCGAGCATAGAGGGGAAGGAGATCCGTGCGGCCCTTGGGGGCTTCTTGAATGGCCTTCACCAATCTGTTCCGGGACGCTTTGGAATTGAGGAAGCAGAAATCCAGTGCCAGCTGGTCGACGGAATTCTTGGTTTGCAGTTCTGGAAGCTTTGCCAACAACATATCAACTTGAGCTCCTACGGTCTTGTTAACCATGGCAATAGATTGGCTGTCAGCCTCCTGGTTGGCTGGTTCCGAAGAAGAGTGGTCCGGTTTCGTAACTTCTCCTTTACCAGAATGGTCAACCCCCACGTCATTGGGAAGTTCGCCGTCGGCCTTCTTCTTGACCTGGTCGTCTCCATCAGTTTTCTTCTTCTTGCCATCCTCAAGAAGAACAGCTGGCACTTTCCCTTTCAAATCGACCAAATTCTCATAAAACCGGCGCTCCTCTTCATCTTCCCAAATGCCAGGGCCTTCGCCGTGTCCACGTAGATATTCTCCGGCCTTAACAAGACCTATTCCGCTACCAAGAGCAGACTCAACTGTTTCCTTCTCCATGAGATCCGGCATGTCTACGCCAAGAATCTCACAAAGAACTTGGGTGTTAGAGACAAGCTTTTCATGGGCCTTCGCGTGTTTCTCGAAATTCGATTGACGGTCTTCGAAAATTTCGCCACTCTTCACATAAGCCTCCGCATTCTTTCGACTCTGCGTTGCAAGCGCTTTCTGATCGCGGATAACATGCGCTTTAACATCCTCAAGATACCGGCAAAGGATATTTTTAAACCGGAGCTGGAGCTTTTCAGATGCCAGGGGTGGATCATCTTCCATTGCTTCTCCATTTACTCCTGCAGACTCATCGCCGGATCCAGCCTCCGGCGCATCCTTTCCCGAAGCCGCCGTGGTCGCGCCATCTGCCTCCACATTCTTCCTGCCTTCTTCCAGCCCCTTCGACCCCAAAATATCCCAGCTGTAAGTTCTTGCAAACAACACAGCCAGCGGCAAATTCACATGCTCACGGTCATACCCCAGAAGATCCTTCAGCACTTCCAGGGGGAACGGCTCTGCCTCTCTATCCTGATCACCCTTCGCCGCAGCCTGAGACGACCTAGACTTCGTCATCCCATCAGAAGAAGAGCCCTTGCCGCCGATAGTAGATGCACCATCCTTCCCTTTTGTCCCCAGATCTTCCGGACGCTCCACATCATCCAAACTCCGCAGGAATCCAACAAGCCACAGCTCCGTCACGACGCGAAGGAGTGCCCGCTGTCTAGCCAGGCGGTCTTTTTCTTCCCGCTCACGGATATCCTGAGTCCACGCCTTCAACTGCGCTTTGTCCGGTGTCGTCAAGCCTCGACCCAGCAGCCATCCAAGTTGCTTGGTAAATTCATCAGGACCAAACCGTTGATGCAGGGCGCTGGCGATCTCGACGCCGGCGGCGATTTCTCCAGGAGACTTGAGCTTGCTAAGCCCCTCGTAGGACGCAGAGGTGATCTCGGACAGATACTTGTGCAGCGAAAGGGTGCGAATATCTGCAAGGAAGGTGGGGAGGGCTGTAGGCGTGATACCGGTTCGGAGACGTTTGATAAAGGCGGTGTTTTTCTTGAGGGAGGAGTCGAGGGATCTGGTTACCGGGAAGACACCTAATACATTGCAAACGAATTTTTTTTATTTGAATCACAAATCAGATCTGTCTTGTTTTGCTTGATAGTATACGGTGGGGAAGAGGTAGCTAATAAACGTACCAGTTTCTCCAGCCCAAGCCTGTTCATTGAAGCTACGCAACTCCCCTTTTACACGCAACGATCTATCAGTATACACAATAGTAGAAGAGATAGCAGGTTCCGAGAATAGCCAATAACAAACTCTTCCTTGCGCGATCCATCTCCGATCTTCACCTCAGTCAATATAGCACCCGTTGTTGTTGCTGGCGGCAGACAGGGGGATGCGGTCAAGCCCGGTGAGATCCCCTCGGAAGACTCGAAGGAAATATTGAAGAACGACTTGAACACCACATTGGGTGTCGCCAAGCACGCAGGCAAATCTGGAACAGGATATAGGTTTAAAAGAGATATGAGGTAAGTCCAACGACGTTATATTTTTTGTGGCGTCTTTGTGGTCTTGCCGATTGTTGTGTGTTTGTGTGGAGGAAAGGAAAAAGAAATACAGAAGTGTGAGGGTTGGTGGTGTCCACAGAAGCAGCAGAAAGGAAACCTTCTTAAACAACGTCACAAGGTGTCAGTCAGCCGCGGTTTAAACTTGGTTCTACCTAATTTGACTCGATACACAAACCACCACGGCAGAATTGGAATTCAACTTATACGGCAAACCTGCAAAGTTCATTTAGAGAAAGAAATAATGCTACCAAGAAACTACAGCTTTGCCAAATCATTTTCAACATATCTCAGCCAATTTTTGAAAACCTTCCTTCCGGGGGGGGGTTACAACGAACCAAACTATACATTGAAAACCCGCACCAAAACGCCAGGAGATAGTTAGCTACGTTAACTAGGTAGCTTTCCAGGGGGAAAACAGGAAAATAGAGATAAAAAAGAGCCAGCCCAAATTAATACAAAACTACATTTCCATGACGGGAACAGTATCCATTCATCGATCCACTCATCCTCTCACATCGTCTCCTTCTCAATCTCCGTAAACCCGCTCTCCCTCCCCTTCTCCAGCCCCGTCAACCTCTGCTGCATATGGTGCTTCATGTCCTGCTCGTTCCAGCTCTGTTTTCGATTGAACTGGGGTTGCCAGTGTGAGGTGGCTGGAGATATGCCCGGTCGCCCAATTGGCTTCCAGTGTAATTCGTGCTCCTGTTTGGTGGTGGTGGTGGTGGTGGAGGAGGAGGAGGAGGAGGAGGAGGAGGAGGAGGGAGAAGAGGAGGTTTTGTTGTTATTGTCGGATGAGGTGGAGGTGGAGGTTGCAGCGGGGATGCTAGCAGCGGTTTGATGCTTTGTGTTATGAGAGAAGAGGGCGGGATGAGAAGAGTGGGAGGAGTAGTGAGATGTTGTCGCCATTGTGCTTTTCTTTGTTTTATTTTATTCTCTCTCTCTCTCTCTCTCTCTCTCTCTCTCTTTTCCTCTCTTTTCAGAGATGGCTGGAGGTGTGTTTGATTGATGGATACGCCTTCGAGGGCGGGGCTGGGGTGGGTTGCTGTTGGTTTCCCACTCCACGAAAAAGTGGGCTGATCGAGTAGTGGGGTAGAGTGTCTTTTTGGTAGGTAGAGAGAGGTATGTATATCCCTATATTGCCAGTCTGATAGCCTGACAACAAAGGACAGAATCGTAGATGTGATCTTGTTGTTTGTTTGCTTTGCTGTTGAGGAGTTGTGTAACTTTTGTCAAAGTAACTTTTGGAGTGCTAGATACAGTTAGATATATATATATATATGTTGGTAGGAGAGAGGCAACAGATACGCCCCCCTTCCCCTCCCCGCCGGCGCATCGCGGGCTTATATATCCGACACAGCGAAATTCTCGGCTCTGAGTCTGGGCCTCCTGCTTGTCCCTAACGTGTACTAGTGGGTGGGACAAAGTAACCTATATGTTACGAGTGGGATATAGCACACATTACATCGGTACGTCGATGCTTTAGTTATGCTACTTACTGCCTTGGAACAACGCCATTTTCACCAGCCAAAAACGTATTAACCCAACTCCGAGATGGCTGCTCTACACGCGGCGACAAGAGAATTTTCCCCCTAGAGATCACGAGGCAGGCAGTTACAGACGCCAATGGCATTTGCGACCGGATTGCTGCTGAACTTACGGCCGCCACCGGGAGGGGGTGGGGGTGGGTGTGGGCTGACATGGCGCGCTTATGACAACGGTTCACATCCTTAGTTCGCCAGCTAATTAGTTACCCCGGAGAAGTTTTTAGTTAATTAGGCTAACTATCGTGTCTTCTAGCACTGTGCTGCATGTTAGTTATTCCTTGATCTTTGCTGTTGATGTTGTCTTAATGCCCAACCCATCTGTCCTGAGGTATAAAATGGAAGCTTCTCGTTGGGAAAATGTCACGCGGAATTTGTAATGCGAGCCGAGAAACATCTGCGCCAGGTCAAGTGGACTTGCGATGAAGGGCTCTTTTGTCCACGCAGCCACTGTGGAGGGTTTAACTCGGGCTTAACTACCCGGCGATTGTCTCGCGCCACGATGGCCTCCCCAAACGCCACACCTAGCCCGGTGAAACTTGGGACCTGGCCATTTCTGGGCGAGAAGAGGAAGAAGGCTAGTGGATTGTACTGGAACGAAGATATGGAAACTGTTCAAACCATTGTAAATCTTTACTTCCGCGGAGCGAATGAGGCTGCGCGGAAATCTCCCATTGCCATTCGACATACCGTACATAGCATGGGTAGACGAGACGATACCTACGGACTAAAACGAGCCCCCAGCACGGGCCGATGAAACCGAGCTTCGGCTCGAGGTAGAAAAACTATGTAGCTATAGTTTGAACTCTTAATTATGCAATCTTTACTCCGTATTTTTATAACTAACTAGTTACGTAATTGCCAGGCAACTTATGCATGTGTGTGTATATACAGCTTTGTATCAAACTCCCTAAAGTCAAGCTATTACTACAGAACCCATTTCGTGTGTAAAATATGCAAACAAACTAGTTACAGGAAGAATACAAAACCCAGGTCTATGCATTCCAATCAACCAAATCAAAATCATCCCATCAACGCCCTCAACCCGTCCCAACAGCCTCGATCCCTTCCCAGCCCAGATCTCCCAAACCCCCAACAGCCCAATCATCATAACCAAATACGCCCGATACGTAAATAGCGACTCCTCCCT